TCTATCAGTAACTAATAAAAATATTTTTAAAAAATGTTTAGATCTTTATAGTTGATTCACAACATGTACCTAGAGAACCTTTTTAAAGAAGAGGATCTTACAGTCTTAGGAAATCCCTGGCATTTCTCTTAAGCAGCTAATATTGTAGCAAAATTAATGTATTCCTATGCTAGCTTATTAAAATTGAAGAACTTCTGCAAGGTGGCTTATAATCATGTTGATTTTTGTTGTTTTATGTGGCGAAACTTRCATGCTGTGTCATCTAAAATGCAGCAACATTGGTTGTATAGTAATTTGAAGGCAGAGGTTGTATAGTAATTTGATTATCAGTATTGTTCCTTAACAGAACAGAGTAGAGCTTTTCTTTTTAAAATGTATGTGTAAACTTTTTTTATTAATTAGATCTGCTCCATGTGGCTCATGGTAACTATTCATATTTTTTTCTAAACTTTTCAGGCGTACAAATCCATTTGGAGAATCTGGAGGAAGTACAAAATCTGAAACTGAAGGTAGAACAGATGTGCAGTTTTCTTATATTTAAAACTACTTTTTGGGCTGGGGCTGGGGCTCAGTCATAGAGTGCTTGCCTAGCATGTGTGAGGCACTGGGTTCAATTCTGAGCACCACATACAAATAAGTGAATAAAATAAAGGTCCATTAACAACTAAAAATATATTTAAAAAAAAACTATTTCTTGTAGTAAATCGTGTGACTAATCTGTCATTTACACTTATTTTTTTTTTTGTTTTTTTGTTTTGTTTTTTGCTATACTGTTTTTGTTTTTAGTTGTAGGTAAATACAATACCTTTATTTAATTTTTTTACTTGTATTTTTTTTTCTTTTTATGTGGTGCTGGGGACCAAACCCAGTGCCTCACGCATGCTAGGCAAGTGCTCTACCACTGAGCCACAACCCCAGTCCCTCTGCTATACTGTTTTTTTGTTTTTTTTTTTTAACTTTGAAATTTCCTCTATAACACAACATAATTTAATCTGATTTGGGATGCTGTTCACACAAAATTAGAGAATATCACATACTTTGATCTCATAGTTAAATTCTCAATGCCTAAGCTGTCCTTCAGGCTTTTCTGATGTTTTACTTCTGGTTCTGGAACATAATTTTTTTCTTATTTTTCCAATAGCTATTTTGTATATATATTTCCAAACTTATTGAAAAGTTTTAAGAGTAGTACAAGGAATTCTTTTTCCCTAGAGCTGCATTGTTGAAGTATTTATTGCCTTATTTTTTTGCTATAACTTAAACACTATAGTCAGGATAAGTTATTTCTAAATTTAGGGGTTTTACTAGAAAATCTAAAAGGAAGAAGACAGTATATTTTATTCTTTTGGAAAAGAAATGTGGGAAATACATAATGTACCTTGCTCTGTTATAGATTCTATTCTTCATCAGTTATTTATTGTCCGATTCCTTGGTTCTATGGAGGTGAAGTCAGATGATCATCCAGATGTTGTTTATGAAACAATGCGCCAAATCTTAGCTGCTCGGGCCATCCATAACATCTTTCGTATGACAGAATCACATTTATTAGTCACTTGTGATTGTTTAAAGTAAGTAAACCTTCCCTAAATAAACTTGAAGGAAAAAATGTTTACATAATTTCAGCGTAACTAAAATTTGCTAAATTTTTAATTATTGTAGGTTAATTGATCCACAGACACAAGTTACAAGACTCACAGTGAGTTATTTTAAGTCCCTTTGTGCATACACATATCTTATTAACTTGATAATCCTGATTCTATATATTCAGGTCTGATAGTATCAGTTACATTTGTTCTTTAGGCACTTTGTAGTTAATTTTCTAGCTAGCTCCAAAAAGTTATAGGTGAATGTTGTATGTAATGTAGAAGAATCAACATGATCTGGTATGATACTTAGTGTTAATCCCTAATTTAGGGAGCATATAAGAAATTAATAGCAGGAATTAAAAGGTGATCAAGATTATTTTATAGTTATCTAGTTTGAAATTGCTGCAAGTGTTTAATCATTTGTTAAATAGACCAGTTTTATTATTGAATTTGATTTTGTAAAATGTGTTAATATCTAATAAAACCCACCATTCATCAATCTCTTATTCTCTTTGGTAATCCAAGCCAAATATGACATTAATTGTTCTTTGATTACCAGTCTGTTAAAAATGGTGTATTTGAGCTGAGTGCGGTGGCGCATGCCTGTAATCCCAGTGGCTCTGGAGGTTGAGGCAGAAGGATCATGAGTTCAAAGCCAGCCTCAGCCAAAGCAAAGCACTAGGCAACTCAGTGAGAGAGACTCTCTAAATAAAATACAAAATAGGGCTGGGCATGTGGCTCAGCAGTCAAATGCCCCTAAGTTCAATCGCCRGTAAAAGAAAAAAAAGGTGTATCTGATTCCTACTGTAATGGTTTGGAAGATTTCATATTTACTTCTGATGTTTTCTGTGGCAGTTTCCATTACCCTGTGTAGTTTTGTATGCTACACACCAGGAAAATAAGCGGCTTTTTGGATTTGTTCTCCGGACATCAGGAGGGAGAAGTGAAAGTAATCTGTCATCAGTATGCTATATATTTGAATCAAACAATGAGGGAGAAAAGGTATTTGACTTTTCAAAATGTTCCTGTTGTAAAATACATGTTATAGTCAGTTTTTACTAGTATTTCTGGAAAAAAACTCCCAGATTTTATCTAGTATGATTGAGTTGCTTGACCAAAGCATGTTGCTCTGAAGAGCACTAAGCTTAGGGATTGGCATTCTGACTATATAGATCCATGTCTTCCTCAACATTGATAGCTGGTAAAATCTTCCCCTTCATTAGCTTATCTTGGGAATAGAATATATTCCTATAATCAGTCAACTTCAAGTATCATCAGCAACTGTTTCTCTCATTCTTTGTGGGCTGAACTACCTCAGTAATGAATTTGAGATAATGAGAAGTATTGTTTGTGAAGGGAGAGCCATCAGTGGAAGCTCACAGACTCATAGAAAAGCAGTGAGAGATGTGGTCCATGACTTTAAACCCAGCAACTCAGGARGCTGAGGTGGGAGAAATGCTAAATTCATGGTCATCTTTAGCAATTTAGACTATGTTTCAAAATTTAAAAAAGTAAAAGGGATGTAGCTTAGTGGTAAAGCAATCCCCAGTACCCTTCACCACCACCCCCCCCAAAAAAATGGAGAAAATATACAAAGACTTGGTTTAGGGGATGGCACATCCTTAAATCAGCTTTTAGTTGAAGTGGTGTATTATATTGAGTTATAAAACTAGTTGTGGGCTGGGGTTATGGCTTAGCAGTAGAGCACTCGYCTAGCATGGGTAAGGCACTGGGTTCAATCCTCAGCACCACATAAAAATAAATAAAGTAAAGGTATGTGTCCAACTACAACTAAAATTTGGGTACTTAATTTTTACTTTAAGAACTTGAGTTTTTTTTGCTTTTTGTTTTTAACACTGTTTTTCTTTTTAGATTTGTGATTCTGTTGGACTGGCAAAACAGATAGCTCTGCATGCTGAACTGGTAAGAATCTGAGAGATGCTTAATTTTCTAAGAGTGTTAACTGAAGTATTATAACAAAAGTGGTTTTCATATTGCTGATAAACCATTTATAATCTGGATAAATGTCTACCATAGAATGAAGCCTTGTGTGCTTCCATACCTATGAATACAAAGAAGGGTATAAAAAGTTACAAGGGTCATGTTAATTGTATATCTAAAATTAAAAATTATTTCATATTTAATTCATTAGTTTTATTTATTGTTCTTAGGATCGTAGGGCATCAGAAAAACAAAAAGAAATAGAGAGAGTAAAAGAGAAGCAACAGAAAGAACTCAATAAACAAAAACAGATTGAAAAGGTATGCATCCCTAATGTCTGAATCTTCTGTCTGGTGTTTGTGAAGACTTAATTCACAATTGTGACTTTCAGATTTGAATTTCCAAATGAAGCTCTTGTTTCTTCTTGCTCAGCCACTTCATAATCAGATAGCATAGCAGAAAAGGGTAACATCTGAAGTCTGCTATGTTTACACAAAAGCTATATTAACAGGTAGTGTGATTTCCTGTTAAATAAACATACCAKAACTTTCATATTCCTGTGAGGGTTATCTTATCAAAGCCACTCTTTTCTTTTTTTTAATATTTATTTTTTAGTTTTTTTTAGGTTGACACATATCTTTATTTTATTTTTATGTGGTGCTGAGAATCGAACCCAGTGCCTCACGCATGCTAGGAGAGCGCATTACCACTTGAGCCACATCCCCAGGCCCTCAAAGCCACTCTTTTGAGAGGTTTTATGGACTAAATTGTTATTGTTGAAAACCATTTTTCCCTTTAAGTGAATTAAATTTTAAATGTTGCCAGGAATGCCAATTCATTATCCACTAAAAGATTTTTTTTTTCCCCCGATGCTGGGGGATCAAGACCACAAAAGAATAATTTTAAGCTACACAATTTTCCAAATAAAATCTTGATTAGGTGATCCAGGAGACTTTAAGAGCCTTTTATGGGTTGTGGCATTGACAATAGGAATGGAAAAAGAAGACAGGTGTGGGATACTTGGAGAACACATCAGTAAGAATTGGCAGTGGGTTGGATGTATGGACAAAGAAGGGGGAAGTGGCAAAGATGACACTGAAGTCATCAGGCTTCCCTTGATAGGCTTACTGAAGGAAGGTGATGCCAGATTCAGCAAAATGAATTGGACAAGAGGACTGAAAAAGAGGAAGGCATGAGGTATGGGGTAATCCATTATGAGGCTTTTATTATGAAAATTGAGATTACTTATGTAGTGTATAGTAAGAGATGATGGCCTGAATTAGATTATTGGCTATAAAAAATAAAATGAGGAAAATGCCAGCGATTTTTAAGTTTGAATGTGAATTTTACAGAATTTCTAGAATAATGCCAAATTTACTTTGTAGTAGCATTGGTTAGGCATAGCCTTTCTTTTTATAAGGTTGCTAGAATTTTGCATACATCTTTATGACAAAAGGATGGAAATGGCTCTCAAGTATGTATTTTTAAGTGCATAGTTTTCATTTGACTGCAGACAGTTAATTTAGTTCCTTTTCTTTCTTTCCCACTAGGACTTGGAAGAACAGAGTCGGTTGATAGCTGCTTCCAGTAGAACAAACCAAGCCAGTAGTGAGGGGCAGTTTGTTGTCCTTAGCAGTAGCCAGTCAGAAGAGAGTGATTTGGGAGAAGAAGGAAAGAAGAGAGAGTCAGAAGCATAAACTTACATTGCTTTTTGATTGACACCCCCCCCTTCCGGAATTGACAATTTCTATGGTGAAATGGYACAAGGTAACAACTATGTTGAAATATCAAGGAGGAGACTACACTTTATATTTGCTTGTTTTTAGCTTCATGTAAAAAAATGTTGAACTTGATGATTTAGTTTTACATTGTTTTTTATTTTCCCTTAAAAATAATAATGTATGCATTAACATTAAATTCCTCTTTTCTAGGGCTGGGTTGGGACTCAGTGGCAGAGCACTTGCCTTGAACATGTGAGGCACTGGGTTTGATCCTCAGTACCACATAAAAATAAATAAACAAAATAAAGACATTATGTCCATTTATAACTAAAAAATATATTTAAAAAACATTGTACTTGTCTAATGCTGAGGAATTATACTTAACCATTTTTTTCCTTCAAATTTTGAACTTTTAATCTTGTGTTGTAACTACCTATGTGCCCATCAGAAATAATTTATTCTTAAGTATTCATATATTCATGGATATACTCGCTCCCTTTCATTAGGAACATTTTGCTGGCAGTGAAGAAGTGTTCAACTAAGTGACCCCTTTCTACAGAGAATTCTACAAATTTGCAAATATTTTAACATTATTTATTTGTATAAAATCATTAGAGATTTTAGACTTAAGGTTTCCAACTTGTGGCAGGTGGCACTGTTGATTGCAGGACACTTTCTTGGATTGCTCACATTTCTCTGATGCCAGTAGTGAAAAAAGCTTGTATCTTTGGTTCAAAATTGATACAGCCCTTGGCATTTTATTATCATATTCTCAGTTCTCAGGTTGGGACTTCAATTATTACTGCAGAGCAGTAATGATTAAAATAAGATTTTGAAATTCATTAAAATATTTCTGTTTTGTTCATTAGGACTGGCTTGTAAAGATATTGTTAGAAGATGATACATTGTATTTTCAGCATTATGTAAAATGATTTTTACTGATAATCAAATGACATTTTCAAATGACATTTCAAAAGAAGTTATATACCAATTATGTTTACTGCTTAAAAGTAAAAATTCCCAGAGTTTAGTTTAGAAAATGTAATCTTTTAAATTTCAGACTGATATGCCCAGTATTTTCATAATCCCATATTTTGATAAAGYACTGAATCATCACTTTATATCCACAAAGGCAAATAACTAATTTATGAGCATAGAATAGTTTGCACTAACTATTGTAAATACTTTTCAAATGAGTAAAAGGTATGATTCCATGAAAGACTGAAAAGAAATTGAATGATTGGTATAGCTAGTAGGGGAAGTTGACCAAGGAAGGATTTTAGCCTGCTACAGGTTTAAAATAACATTTCTCTACTGCCTATCTTCTCTCAGAAATTAATTTCTTTTACTTTGCTCAGATTTAAACATGGCTTATAGAAGTTATGTTCATGTGTTCCACATGAAAAAGTATATATACATATATACATATAAGTTAAATATATTGAGTAAAATATCTTACATAGTTAAACATTTAGAATTTTTCAGTAGGTTAGCCACTAATACTAATCTCACAAGGGAAAAATCCTTTTGTCCTTTGATATGTAGTTGTTTTTTTTTTTTTTTTTTTTTAGGTCTGAATTAGAAATGGCATCTGTTAAAAGCTCTCAAAATATAGCTCAATTTCATACTGTATATGTACATTGTTTTCTGTAGGAATGGGATAATTATACATAGCTTCATAATATTTTTATCCATGTGCCAACTGGGAGTAATGATTATTTAATACTCCTTAAAGCCTTATGATACTAAAACATATAGTAAAAAAGTAGACATTTATGGAATACTTTTTGATTAAGTTTATTTTGTGCCTACTAAAGGGAATGCTTTTAAAATATTGTATCATTCCTTTTGTTAAAGTTGAAATTTGTGATCAGTACTTGRTTGGTCATGGAAATTCCTGCTTCTAAGACCTTTTTTGAGATTGGTTAACTTTCAGTTTCATTGTCTTTTCTTTATATGGCACCTCGATAAGTTCACATGAAATCTGTTGCCTCACAAGGAAGTTGGTCATCATTAGAAGGCAGTTTTACCTGGTTGGTCCTTTGCATGGTAGCAAAGTGCTACCCATTGTTAGCCCTCTGGGTCAAAGTGTAGACTGAGGTTAAGGGTATTGGTAGACGTAGGGATGCTGGACAGACTTATAGTTCCTTTGTGTCTGTGTGTGTGTGTGTTTCCCTTTAAGTCATGTTCATAAGAATTACCACAATAACTGTCATATATAACTAAAAGAAATTTTAAAAATGCYCACGTCCATAGGACAGATGCATTCCAGTGCCAAATAGAAATCATGAATACATTTAGCAATCTTAGATGAAAATTCTCTTCCATTACTACTAAACTATAGGAGCTATTCTATTATTGCAGACCTGTAAGCATCGAGTTTAATAAGCTCTTCTTTTTATTTAAAGAATGCTGCCCATGGGCTTCATATTAATGTTCCAGGTGATCTCCTCTGAAACCCCTTCAAAAACTCTTGAGATGCTTCGATGGCAGTTGGATTAGATTTGGGGATATCTCTTCTCTGGCATAAATTTATATTTAATGATTTTTAGAAATTAACCACATATTTTTTTAAGGAAAGAAATTAAGAAATTAAGCCTGCCTAATTCTGCTATATGTTCTGCTTCCTATGTGAACAGTGCTTTTGTAACTATGGTAATGAAATTAATAGATAAAAAAATCAATTATTAGTGCATCCTTCTAGAATTTTGAAAATTTGCTAATTAGGTACTGAAACTGGTACCTTGAACAAAGTCCCTAAAGCTAATCTAATCTAGTTCTTGTCATGTCTATAAGGATTACTTTGTGTGCAATTTTAAAAGAATTCACAGGATCCACAAACTAAATTTGTTGTTTCCATTACTTTTGGGAAAAGGACAATAAGATGTGTGTAATTTCCTAGGTAACATAAAATGTTGTGATAAAGGCACCTGAGTTAATTCTGAGTTATATATAGGAACCACAGTGTTTAAAATTTGCATCTTACAAATGTTAACAGACTAAGAATCTAGCATATTTAGCAAAACCTTTTGCAACCTGAATAAAATGAAAATATAAATGTTGATTTTTGACAACCTCCTTTCAGTTGAATTGTACTTTGAATATTTAAATATACCAATTGTAAYAATCAAACTCTTCATTTTATTTTTAGCATTTACTCCTTTTTCATGAAGTTTCTGTTCTATATTAATTAATAATACAAAGATTTGAAACTGGAACCACAGTATACTTTTTAACCAATCTCTTGTGGCTGTACTCACTCATAAGTAATTTAATTAATAGAAGAACTGGGGATTAAATTATAACTAATGTGTGAAATTGCTTTGTATATTCAGTGATTTTTGTAATGTAAGTGAATTGGTTAATTCTTATCTCACTGATAGTTAATTCATGCAGTGTACCATTAAGTCATGTTAACATTTCACTTTAGAATTGGATTTGAGGAACTCACCTTTATGTGACCGTGGTATACATGTAGGACAGAGAACTTATTTTTTCATTTTGTCAAAATAGGCATTTGCTGACAAGGCTTCAGGAAATATGTTGTTAGATTTTTTAATGTATAATAAAGTCTGATTTTTGTACAGTCTTTTTTTGTATAAAATATTTGATATATTTTCTGAATTTTATTTCTCCAAGTAATTTTGAATGGTGTTGTCACTTATTGGGAAATTTGTTGTAAAAGCAAATTATAATTCATTATTAGTGACTTTTCTTGATAATTACACTAGATGTGTTACAGACAATGTATACTTACAACTGTTGGGTTCTACTAAAGAAATTTCTCTAATTTAAAGGGACAAATAATTGTGTGTTGAACTTTAAGTAGCTTGACCTGTAGTTTTAATAGTAATATATAGTCATGCTGTGTAACTCTTTGTAGTTTAGTATATAACTTAAGTTCTACAGGGAATTTTATGTTCTAATTTGTTTTTGAATTTTATAAAAATGTATATACTTTCAGAAAGTCAAGGGATTAGATGAAATTAATTTTAGAATTATGTAATTTATCTAAGTACATGTATATCCTAAATGTATTTTTGTATATTGACACATATACATATATATAAACTACCACTTCGTTATAAGCACATGAGATTAAAAAAAAACAAACAAAACTTCATGTTAGCCAATTTTGCACATTTTAAATGTAAAAAGCTAAATATAATTCTAAATCTTCTGCTTACTGAAGTAGTCTTTATAACCATGAATCAATTATTGCATCAGAAATCATACAGTTTTAGTTGCAGTAAAATGGACTATATTATGCTAAAAAATGTTAAAACTAAATATGTAAAAATCAAAGCTGTATAGTTAATGGAACTGTGGAGAAAATGAACTACATCATTCTCTGTTGTCCTTTTGATGTGCTCTCTCAACTTGACATAGATGTGACTGAATGAATATTTCTCAATTTCTTTCTGTACTATCCACATACAGAAACTTGAACTTAGATGCAACTTAGAATGCATAGAAATAAAAAATTGAACTTAACATTCTATATTCACATGCAGTAGAGAATATAAAGAAATAATTTAATCTGACATCTTCTGTAATCATTGAACCCCTCTATGTCCACTAGCCGGCTAGGTTCAGTATAGAAACCATAAGCCTATCCATTTGAAAACCCTTTTTAATCCCCATTGCATTAATTATATTAACCAATAAGTGGTAAACCATAACCAAAAATTTTGGAAAGAAGGCAGGAGGGAATATGTGTTTCCTATTAATGATGAAGTTTTAATTGAACGATYTATTTGAATTAACTGAATTACTCCATCCCTGTACTTGACTACAAAGAAACAATGCCAGGCCTGGTGGTGCATGCCTGCAATCTCAGCTACTTGAGGCAGGAGGATTACAAGTGCAAGCCTGGCCTTAGCAATTTAGCAAGACCTTGTCTCAATAAAAAGTGAAAAAGGCTAGGTATATTTCCTAATGGTAGAMCCCCCTGGGTTCAATCTTGAGATCCAAAAAAAAAAAAAAAGAGCTGTGACTTCTGCACACAAATAGTTTACTTCCAGGGCATGTAATGGAGTCAGTATATATTCAATACAATCACTAATACTTCTCTATTTAAAAAAGAATCTCCAATTGTCAGAGGTGGCATCCATTATTTTGAGCACATTTATACACTTAATGTAAGATCACTACAGAATTAGATCTGGTATATAGGGCTGGCATTATGGTCCAGTGGTAGAGTGCTTGACTAGCATGATCCAGGCCCTGGTTCAATCCCCAGAATCACAAAAACAAAAAACTGGTGTATTTAGTTAATTAAAATATTCACTAGTTGGGTTTTGCTTTTCTTAAAACTAACTTTGGACTTCTAGCCATTTATATGTTTTTTTTTAAGAGAGAGTGAGAGAGGAGAGAGAGTGAGAGAGAGAGAATTTTTAATATTTATTTTTTAGTTCTAGGCGGACACAACATCTTTGTTGGTATGTGGTGCTGAGGATCGAACCCGGGCCGCACGCATGCCAGGCGAGCGCGCTACCCCTTGAGCCACATCCCCAGCCCCCCATTTATATGTTGAAAGGCTATATTCAGAGAAACTACTTAAAGAACGTAGACTGATTTTAGTTACTGGGTAAAGCAAAAATTATGAATCTTAGAAGACAAATCCCATTTGAAAAAAATAAGCTGCAAAATTATACCTTTTCCTGTAGAATAATATGATTACCAGATTTCTGTAAAAACTCCTTGTCCGTAAAGGTCATATTCTTTGTAAAGGATGTATGCTTTTAGACGATTGGGCAATGGAAGAAACGACATGAAGACAGGGCAGCGTAAATGCAAACGCCCCATACACTTGCGGATCTTTAGGCGGCACAAATGTTTTAGGGAACGAGGGTTTGCTAAAATGAAAGAAATAGGATATTATCTAAAAGGAGAAAGAATTAAAGAATTGCTTTTTTTTAAAAATGATCTTAGGGTTCAGTTAGCAAATGTATTTGATATTTAAACCACCAGGATTTGCATTGGCTGTGATTAAATGGGAATATCAATAGGGAAAGTTTTTCAATTCTCAGTGCAACGCTTTGCAAAAATATGACTTCAGATGCACATGAAGTTGGAATCCAAAGACAAATCAATTGTGCATCTGGCTTGTGAGACCCTAAGTACTTAAATCTCCATTAACCTCACTCGCCACCCCCTGCCAATTCTTTCTATCAGGGACAGGGCAAAACCAAAGATCACCACCCAGGGGGAAATGGGATAAAATAAATTTTTAATTGACTTAGGTGCAACTTTGAAAAAATTTGGTTTGGAGAGGGTCATTTGGTATCCCCTACAAATTTAGATCTTTTCTTATCAGTTTTTTATTGCCATGTCATACCTTTTAATTCCTGTCTATAATGTTCCTTCCTAGTCATGGATTAATTGGGTTGGGAAAAAAGTGTTACCCACATATAATTATAAGTAATTACCTAACAGATTTTGTCTGCTGGAAAATTGTAGCAAGTACAACTTAATGATTACACTGTAGTTTTAGGAAGGAATAGTATTTTTTTGGTTGCTTTAGGTTATGCTTTTAACACAAAATATTCTATATAACAAATAATATGATTAGTATTTTGGTAAAAGTTTTCTATAAGACAGATACTCACTTAAGATAAAATGTATTTCTGACCAGAGCCCCTGTTTTTGGAGCACAGCTTTCAACTTTGAGCAGATTTGAACTTGATCAACATAATCAAGCATCACTCGAACAACCTTTCCAGAGAGATGCTGCAGCCATGATAAAGTTATTACTTCACAGAACTGAAGGGGGAAAATCAGAAAATTAATGAAAAGCATTAAGAGTATCTATGGTTTAGCACAGTAATCAAAAGAATACTAAGCTAAAGTCTTCAGTTCCTCATTTGATTTCTTAGTCCTAACATTTGGGAGAAATATATTTACTGATATAAGAAGTAATAAGGGTGTGGCAGAGATTGTTACATAATATCTGTTAACTCCCTTGGTTGGTCACCTGGCTGTCTACAATAAAGATTAACTTTTTAGCTTCACTTGCAACTAGGTGTGGCCACTTGGCTAACCTTTAACCAATGAGAGGTAAGTGGAAGCCTCAGCAGCTCCCCAAATACCATGCAAGAAAGGCAAGGTCTGTGGTACTTCCTTTTCCCTTTCTTCTTGCAGACTGTAATATGGATACAAGCTGCTTTTATGAATCATGACACTGTCTATTTACAAGGCTATTTACTTCTGTCCTTGATATGAGAGGGAATGAGCCATTTGGTTTGGTTTGAGATGAGTCTCACTAYCTTGCTCCCTCTTTCCAGCCTCCCAAGTAGCTGGGACTGCATGTGATCCACTATGCCTGGCTGACATTTTGTTAAAGCTTTTATTTTGGGATTTTTCTGTCATTCAAAAATCTTAGTCCAACCCTGATATATAAGGAAAGTAACAGTTTTGGCCTTTAAATCATTAACATGCTCTTAAATAAGATGTCCAGATGAGAAATGAGACTGTTCCTGAACAGTCAGGAAATAATACCACATGGTATATATCCCAATGCTGAATTAATGGTGTAGAAATTAAGTCCTATATTAATCACCTAAAAATAATAAATACAAGAATATTTTGCCTGAAACTTTTCAGAATTGATTCAAGGAGCTTTTTCAATTTACTGTTTCATTTCTATTTTTTAAATTTTGGTAATATGAATTCAAGTATAGAGCATCTACTATGTGCTAAGCACAGACATGTAAACTGAGGATATTTATAAGGGGTACAGTCATTAAAGTACTAAAATAATATTCAGAAAGTCAAATTCTACAAAGAAATGATCATGATAAGAGAATGATGGGGAAGGGGACTACCTAAGATGGGCCTTTTTGGAGAGATGACACTTGAAATGAGACCTGAAAAGTAGCAACCATTTGAAAAGCTAGGGGAAAAACTCAAGTTGGGGAAAACAGAAGTGACCAATTAGGTAAGAAAAAACTAGGGGTCTGGTGTAAGAAAAATCTCTCTAATCAGGAGGGGTCAACTGTTTACTGCAACTTTTTTCATCATAAAACTAACCAAATAAAACTAATCAAATGCTCAAAGAGCCAAAAACCTAAGGGTATAGGTATTTGGAATCCAGCAACATTTTAGCTAAAGAGAAAATATAACTGAAATATAAGGCTGGATTCATTTTTTAAAAAGGGTTTTAGTTGTTGATGGACCTTTATTTATTTATATGCAGTGTTGAGAGTTGAACCCAGTGTCTCACACATGCTAGGCAAATGTTCTACCACTGAACACAACCCCAGCCCTGCAGTTTGCATTCATTTTTTTTAAAACCTTGCTCAGGAGTCAGTTCATTTGTGAAACTCCCTGACAGTTCTAGGTAAAGTCCCTTTTTTTCTCTGAGTTGATTCTGTACCTTCTATATCTTTCTGCTGATAGATATCTACATGATATTTTATCATGTATTTTTCATTCTAGAGTCTTCCAACAATTAGCTTCTAGAGAGTGGACTGAGTATTACTATAGTTCCCAGACTATGGATAATGAATGTAATACAACTAATCCTGTGGACTTACCATAGTATCTTTAATAACTGTAGATGTCCAGCCTTCAAAAGTATAGAAAGGATGAATTTTATCCCCATGAGGACAATCAAAACATCGCTCTGTGTCATACCCATAATTCAACAGCATCCTGAGCATGACTTCATCTTTTAGTGTGTATTGCAGTGCTGATGGGAAATGCAAAGGGTTGACTCTGCAGAAGTAATTGACGTTGGCACCATGTCTTAGCAGTAGACTTATGAGCTCATAATTACCCATCCTAAGGGCTATCTGCAGGCAGTTAACTGGGTCTTGATTAGTCAGAGCTCCAGCGCCCAGAAGCAGCTTAACTGAAGAGAGGTCACCATTTGATACAGCAAAATACAAAGCTGATTTCCTTTGGTCATCATAGTGTTTACGAATTTTTTGATCTAGCATGAAATTCACATCAAATCCAGCCTGGATGAGAAGTTCCAGGCATTGAGGGTGTGCTCCTGCTGCTGCACAATGAATTGGACTGATCCCACTCCGCTTAATRGCAGCAAGGTCCGTAACTGGAATCAATATCTTTAGAGCTCTGAGAAAGAATTCCAAAGTACATTTCAAGATGGTTTCATCAAGATACAGAGTTAGCCTGTTTATGATTCTTTTATATTAATGATATATATAGTATTAGTATCAGGTGGCAATTAGAACCCTCCAACAAAAAAAAAAAACAAACTAATTCCTTCATCTGGCAGCTTAGATAGCAAGTAAAACTGAATGGAACTATTGTCTAGGTTTAAAACTCAGTATTAGCCCAGTCATTTGAGACCCAAAGTTTCCCATATTGAAAGCAGTTCTGTGTCTTCAGCAGCTACAGAAGATGCTCGGCCTTACCAATTTCTAGCAGGTCCAGAGATTTTCCTTTTTAAGGTTTAGGTTGTTGGATCAGAGAAAAAATATAAAGTTCCTAGAAGTTGCTTATAAAAAAAGTCAGTTATTACTATTTCTATTATTTACAGTAATATAATTTAACTTACAATAAGTGTCCTCTGTCAGCTGCCACATGAATGGGCAGGTGGCCTGAAATCTTAGGTATATTGGCATCAGCTCCATACTCTAGCAAGAGAGTCACAGAGTCTGGATTTCCTCCTCTAGCAGCTTCAAGTAATATGGAAGATGAATCAGAGGCCTGACCATGAGCATTAGCACCTAAGAGGAAAAGTCATTATGCAAAAATTGTTTTCCATTGTATATAAGCAATCTTAAAATCAAAAAATGCATACCTACTTTAGTGAAGAACTAAGAAATAAAATAGGTAGCTCTTTTCTCAAGCAATTTATAAACTAATTGTGGAGGGGAGGGACATGATACAAACAGTTTGTAAATTATAGGTAAGCTGGCTTTCAGAGTAATTTTTATAAGTTTGGAACTAAAAATTTCCAGTAGACATACTTTCATAAAAGGTGGATTTCTAAACCASTATACAAAGCCCAGTTACCTCACAATATGCTTACAGATAGGATGGTAATAACCAASTGAATTATATCACCATAACATTTAATGATGTTTTATGGAAAGGGGCATTTTTTTAAACTTCTTCATAAAGGACTGTTCATAATAAGAGACACTAATTGTTTTAAACTGAAATTGGGGATTGCTGATAGCTATAAAGATAAATTGTAGTACCTATGCCAAGTRTCATGTGAGTGGTGTGGATAAGAATACAGGTAGAGGCAAAAGTGCCTTCTAGAAGATCTAGGGCTGGRGCTGTGAAGGGAGCTTAGAGATAAAAGAAAAGAGTTTGGGTCAGTTCTGGAAGTCTTCTCAATAAAATGGGCTCTGAAGAAAGAGTAGCATTGGATGAGGAGAGCTAAGGAGAGCATTCTGGACACATCATAAATCATAAAGACGATATAGTGGCTTTACTTTTGAATAGATAGATAAAAATCATCAGGGTATAGTGGCTGCCCAARAAACCCACTCCTAGAATGTATTAAGAAATCTAATATACCTTCATTTATTGTTTACTATGTGCATAATCATTTCTAAATTTCACAGCAAATTCCAGAAGTAGGTGCTAATATCTCCACTTTAAAGATGAAGAAACTAGGGTCTGGAATTGTGGCTTAGTGGTAGAGTACTTGCCTAGCATGTGTGAGGCCATGGGTTCAATTCTCAGTACTGCATATAAATGAATGAATAAAATAAAGTTCCACCAACATTTAAAAAATATTTTTTAAAAAAGAAGAAGAAACAAGGGCTTACTGGTTTTAAATGACTTGCCCAAAGACACACAGCTAGTAATAAGCAAGATAGTTAGGATTCATACATAGATCTTCCAGACCAAGGCCTTATTTCTATGATACCATCTTGTCTCTAACAATTCGGGATCAGGCAGATATGACTTCAAATGCTGGCTCTGCCATTTACTATTTATGTCACTGTTATGGTTTAGATATGTCCCCCAAAAGCATGTCATGTGTTAAGCAGTGCATGAATTTTAAAGGTGAAATTACTGGATTATAAGAGCCTAACCTAATCAATGGATTAATCTAGTAATATGGATTAACTAGGAAGTAACTCTAAGTAGGTAGGGTGTRGCTGGTGGAGGTGGGTCATTGGGAGCATGCCTTTGGAGTTTACATTTTGTTCTCCCTCTTCCTGACTGCCATGTCTTGACTTCTTTCCATGACCACACTCTTCACAATAATGTTCTGCCTCACCTTGTGCCAGAGTTATGCAATCAGTCAGCCCTCTGTGGACTGAGACTTCTAAAACCACATGCCCCAAATAAACTTTCCCTTCTGTATGTTGTTCTTGTCAGGTCTTCTGGTCTCAGGGACAAGAAAGCTGACTAAAACAGTTACGATGTGTAAATTACTTTGTAAGGCAGTTAAGGGAAATGCTTAATCACTGAACTCACCAGTCACATGATCCTGGTTTCTTTGAAAGGTAAAGGATTGAAAATTTGTTGCTCTGTGTGTGTGTGTGTGTGTGTGTGTATTTTGGTATTGGAGATTGAACCCAAGAGCGCTTTACTACTGAGCTACATCTCCAGCCCTTTTTCATTTTTTTGTTTTGAGACAAGAGTCTTGCTAAGTTGCTTAAGGACTTACTTAATTTGCTGGCCTCAAACTTTTGATTCTCCTGACTTAGCCTCCCAAGTCACTGTGACTACGGGTATATGCCACAACACCTGGTAAATGCCAAAGTTCTTTGAGAGTCCCTGCCAGTTATCTAAAATGACCAGTTATAATGCGGAGGGCAGGGAGGAAGTGTGTTTGAAGAGAAGTCCTATAACTGGTACCATCTCTGAACTTCTTTTCTCAAGTGCAAAGTGAGATTAATATCTGTCTCACAGACTTTTTAAAGGATTACATGAGGCAACAGCTTAATGCCTGTTATGTAGAAAGTATTTAATAAATATAAATCAGTGGCTGGAGTTGTAGTTTCAGTGGTAGAATGCTTACCTAGCATGTGTGAGGCACTGSGTTCAATCCTCAGCACCTCATTTTTTTTTTTTTTTAAAAAAGGTATTGTGTACAACTAAAAAATAAATATTAAAAAAAATAAATATGTTTTAAAAGATAAATATAAATCATTTTCTCCTTCTCTTAGAGTTTTGGCTATTAGTAGAACAGAGAACAGGGATACAAAGAGAAGAAATCAGGAAGAATTTCCTAACATTCAAAGATATTCTGCAACAGATTAAACTGCCTCATGACTTAGCATAAGTAGCAACAGTATGTACAGAATGTTGCAAGGACTTTGATTTTGATTCTAGGAAAGGACATCAACACAAAAATGTTTTAAAAAAACAACTATCCTCTAAGAATACTAAAGGAACATTAAGTATAAGGGTCACCCTGCATTGCAATAATTTTAAGGAAATTATATCACATCATCAAATAAGAGAACCAGTCTTTGATTATTTTAGGCTTTCTAGTATCCAACATTAATACRCAAATTTCAAATATTTAAATTGGTTTTAAATAAGATATTAACTTCTATTATTCTGAAGCTCTCCATCAAGAAGAGAACACTGGGATGAAGTTTCTCTATGGTAGTATGCTGACTATATAGAAAATCTTGCCTTTCTGCAGTAATAATGCCATAATTTCAGTGTGTCCACTTTGGGCAGCAAGAGCAAGTGGAGTGAATCCATAGGTGCTCCGGGGGTCAGGGTGTGCCCCAGAAACCAGCATAAGCTTCACCATGTCCTGTCTGCCCAGTTTGGCTGCCTCGTGGAGAACAGTCCTGTCATTGGCACATCGTAGATTTACATCCGCTCCGTGGCTGATCAGCAAGGTAGCCATGTCATAGGAGTCACGTAGAACAGCTAAGAAATCAGAAGCGAGGTGGGCATTATGCTTGATGGGGGTAAGGCCAGAGTGTCATATCAGCTAGTGTCCCTCAGCCTTCTTAAGGAGCTCTTCCCACTTACTCCCTTGCCTCTGCATTATGAATTTAGGGAACCCATAAAATAGACTGTATGTCAAATAATATATCAATGGGCTATTTATTTTGTTTTTCTATAAGCCATAACCAATTCATTGTCTTTTGGCTGCTTAGCTGGCTCATACATATAAAATTTTCTTATATCTTTATTTTCTTGAGAAAATGGGAACTTACATATTCAGTACAGTCCTGGAAATGCTTGTAAGCTGCTTTAAAAGAAGAAAAAAAGCAACAGAACCTATCTCAGCAAACAAATGACTAAAATGTAATTTTATTTTGTATGTTGGATGAGTGGCTGAACCCATAGGATATGATGGTTTGGGCTTGTATTTCCCAAAGTGTTGTACAGAAAGTCCCTTGAGGTTCTTTGTGAAGAAATGATTCTGAAAGCAACAAACATACACACCCATCTCCAAAGGCCTGGAAATCCTATGTATACTATTATTACATAATTAAGGTCCAGCTCAGTGGTAGAGCACTGGGTTTGATCCTCAGCACCACATAATTTTAAATAAATAAAAGGTTCACTTTGGGGCTGGGTTGTGGCTTAGTGGTAGAGTGCTTGCCTAGCATGCACGAGGCACTGAGTTCGATCCTCAGCACCACATAAATGTAAAATAAATATATTTTTTTAAAAAAAGTTCACTTTACACATTGGTGAATTAAAGTCTCTGAGAACTATCTTGATGAGYTTGTTTCACTGAAACCCAACATCTTCCGTATCTATGAACAGGGAAATAAATGTTTAGATACGACCGAAAAAGAATCATTTGACATGCCAGATAGGCCGAGTTCAAGAGAGGAAAACCAGTTCGTACCATCATATCACTCTGACAGGCTTCACAGCTTAATGCTTTCTTACATATGACTTGTACACACACAAGATGAGTACTATTATCTCTATCTTATAGGTGAGAAAACTGAGGTTTAGAGAGGTTAGACCTAATCCAGAGTTTTCATTCTGATGCTATATAGGGCTTTCTCAGAGAATGCTCTTCTATTCAGTGTTTTGATGATTTTTCTCCCCTATGAACGCAAAGCCTAAAAGCACCCTGGGACAAATCAAGATGAGCCCTCCAAATCCCAGTTTTCAGTAGTACCCTGTAAATGTTCTCTCTTTAATTTTTTGCTTTTTTCTTGAAAGTTACACACTTATGCAAGGCTTAAAGAGCCAATTACTACAGGGTTCTCCACCCTTTCTCAACTCTCTTTTTCCTTCACTAGAGCACCTTTTAGCTGATTCTTTGCTATTAACTATTATATTTCTAAATAGCCCTGCTTACATTGCCACTTTTTAATTTTTTTATGTTTAGATTTTTATTTAAGAACTCAAAAAATTGATTACCTACAAAATAATTTTGAAAGAATTAGTCAAGGAATACTTCTAGTAAAGTAAAAATTAAATAAGAGAAACAGGAGATAAAAACACTTTTTAATTTTTTTGGTTTTGATTTGACTTTTCATGGAAAATGAAGATTTTTTCTCTTATGCTCACCATACATTCACATTTCTCATCCCACCATTCTTCAAGTACTTTTTATGATATAATTTTTGTTAACTATTCAGTATTTACCTTATTTTTATTATATTTGCTATTCAAAAAGCTGGGCCTTAATTATGTTTCCTTTCCTGTACATCTTTTGTTTTCCTTGTAGTTAATACTAGCCTTACATTTACATTCCATTTACCTAATTTGTTTGTTTGTGTGGTGCTAGGGATTAAACACTAGTCAGTTTGCATGCCAAGGCAAGTACTTTACACTGAGCTCTACCCCCAGCCTTTGCTTAGTTTTCAATTTGCTTATCACTAATTCAACCTGAGACTCTCTAAACTGTCTTAAATCTCAAGACATTTATTCCAATTCCATCATGTCTTAAAGAAACCTCCACCTGCAATCTTTCAACCTATTCTTTTTTTTTTTTTTTTTTTAAATCTACTAAACTAAATCCCCAACACTCTTGCTAAATTGCTAAGACTGGTCTAGAACTGCAATCCTCCTGCCTTAACCTGTGATTACATACCTGCAATTACAGGTGTGTGTTACCTTATTTAGCCCCTCTGACCTGTTCTAACCTGGAATTCAGTGCCTGGAACATGTTGCCATCCTAGGAGTACTGTTCCCCATCATCTTGGGGATCTCATTTGCCTACTATCTGAGATGGACCTTGTATTTCTTTGATCCCTAGCTTTGACATTTCAAGTTCACTTCCATGTTGGTAGGACATTTATTTCATTAATGAAGCAGACCAGAGACCCCCATCATATTTGTAATATATGTATATATTTGTAATATTTGTAATATATTTGTAATATTTGTAATGTATTTCTCTTGTCAGAAAGATTTTTACAAAGGGTGTCAACAGGATATCAGCAAAAATTTCTGCAGAGGGCATTGTGGTTTGTAGCTTCCTCTTTCTGCCATGTCTGCAGAAAAAAAAAAAAAAAACTTGTAAAACTTCTGTCTGGCCTAAGAATATGGGACAAAGAGTATGTCCCCACCCACTATCATGTAATCATCCCACTGAGTATAAATCTAAAAGAATTTCCAGACTCTTGGTCCAGAGAATTTTAGGCATGGGCCCTGTATGGACTGCTACAGCTAAAATCAAACTGCTTCCTGAAATTCCTTAAGTCCAGCCTCACCTATCCTACATCATTAACACATTAATGGTGTAAGAGGGGGAAAAGTTTGAGATCTTCGTTGTCTGATAATATGTATCTTGTTTTTACCTTCAGATTTAATAGTTTAATTAAATATTTAAGTTGGAAATAATTTTCCCTCAGAATTTCTGAAACTATTCATCAATTTCATCAAGCATCTAGTTATTGTTGAGAACTCTAAAACTATTTTGATCTTTTATCTTTTGTATATGATATATTTCCAATTTTTTCTCTCTCAGGAAACTTTTGGAAGCTTCTCTTTGTCTCAGGTGTGGGTCTTTTTAAAAATGCTTTTTTTTTTTTTATAAAAAGGTTCATGTTCATGAATTTAGATATGCAGAAAAGAAAGAAGAAAACAGACTCATAATCACATCTCTTTGGTAAAATCTTTGTTAATATTTTCATATCTTTTCTTGTATTGTTTAATTATGCATATAATAAATTTTTGGTAGTTATTTTTGATCAATTTTGTCAACCAAAATTGTCTAATAACCATCTTTTCTTCATTTATGCTGTTCTTGCACATTTGCATGATGAATCTTGGTTCCTCAAGATGCTGAAACACCTGAACTTACCCATCTCATTATTCATTCACCAATTCCTCCCTTGCCCCCTCACCCCTATTTTGTATTTTATTTAGAGACAGGATCTCACCGAGTTGTTTAGTGACTCACTTTTCTGAGGCTGGCTTTGAACTGGTAATCCTCCGGTCTAAGCCTCCTGAACTGTTGGGATTACAGGTGTGTGCTACCACGCCCAGCTCACCAATTCTTAGCACAAAATGTTCATGGAATTTTACTAGATGCCTGATACTGAGTCAGTATGAATTCTTTTAATAATTATTTATAAGGTGCTATGAAAATGCTCTAATTGCTCTAATACTGAAGAAAAGTGCTGATTGTGTTGGGTCTGTTTGAATTCATCAGCTAGCTTTTTCACTTTGGAAACAACATGTTCCTTATTTTAGGAAATTATTATTTTGACTTATTTTATTGATGATAGAGTACCTCCATCTTGTTCATTTGCTCTGTCATTCCTGTTATTCATACATTGCTCCTCTTGGGTTGCCTTCTAATTTTCTTATTTATCCTTTACTATTTTACATTTCTTATCTTCTGAAAGCTTTCCTAAACTTCATTTTCTAGCATTATTTTTTTWAAAAAAATTGTTTTGATATTTTTAATATCAAGAGCATTTTTGTTTTGTTCTTGGATTTTTTGTAGTATCCTACTTTTTTAAAATATTGTTTTTAGTTGTTGATGGACCTTTATTTTATTTATTGATATGTGGTGCTGAGAATCAAACCCAGTGCTTCACACATGCTAGGCAAGCACTCCACCACTGAGCCACGACCCCAGCCCTGTACTATCCTATTCTTATTTCTTTAATTTCTTTGAAGAAATTAATGATAATTTCCTTTACATTTTATTTCTCCTAAATAATCTGCTTCTTCCAAGTCATTTAAAATCTATGTTGAAGACTTTCTTCAAATAGTCTGGTTATCTGCTCATGAGTAAGAGCCTGGACAACTATTCTGGTTGAAAATTCTAAATGGTGGGTGGGGCTTGCAGACTATGGGCTTCACTACTGGTTGGTATGTTTGGGCCATTTGTTGGGGGAGCCCCCAGTGTTACTATCTTTAGATCTTCCTGGGCTGATCAGATTCTCCAGAGAATCCTCTTTCTGGAGAGTATAAAGGCTTGTCTGCCAGCTTTCTAGGATCCTGGTGGGAGAATGCCTTCTTGTGGAAGACAGTTGGGTCTTTTTGCTTAATTCCTCCAGTGTTTTCAATTAAGTACTCCCACTCTCACCTAAATTCTCTGGTCTAGAGACCCTCTGTTTAAGCTGTTCAAGAATAAACCTCCAGAACTCTACTGGGCTGGGGAGGAATCTGTCCTAGCAGGCAAAGTGGAAGAAGCAATCTAGATATCTGACTTCCTGATTAATAGTTTTTAGCCTAGCCTCCCATTTCAGCTGCCTGCCCTTCACCTATGCTTCATGACTCTGTTCCTTTCAGTATGTGTATGTGCTCCTAACTGGGCATCAGGCCACCTCATTAACAAATCTATAGAAAGCTTCTTGAGGGTCTGGTCAGCTGGGATCAAAATGACAGTATTGCATCTGTGCACAAAGAGCTGTTTTTGAAACTTGTTGGCATAGGGGAGAAAGAGCAACATACTCTTCTCCAGAGATGAGTCATTTACCTGTAAGAAGAGGAGAATTGCCTTCGAAATTCTTAGCATTTGGATTGCAGCCACTRAGAAGAAGAAAACTGGCATTTTCTAAGAGGCAATTGCTGACAGCCAGAAAAAGTGGTGTTTCACCATTATGGGTGGTTTGCTCCCACACACTGGTTTTTGAAGCTGAAATAAATTCATCATATCATATAGGTTAAGATTCAAAAACCAATTTTAAGTTTATTTCTCAGAAGCATCAGGAAGAATAAAAGGGAGTTTACCTTTCAGGGTTATTTCTAAAATGTTCTTATTTAATTGTACTGCAGCCTTATGCAAGGGAGTCCACCCTATCCCATCTGCTTCATCAAAAGCAGAATGGTACTTGGTTAAGTGTGACAATGCATCTTCCTCACCTATTAACAAGAAAAATRAGAACAGATTCACATTTCACACACATACAAGGCAACCCACACTGTTTCTGAATTCTACCACCAAAGGTAGTATATAAGACAACAATCAGATTGCCACCTTTTTTTTTTTAAATATCATAGGACAGAAAATAAGGCCTGTTATCTAACACTGCACAACACCTGGGCCTGTGAACATCCCACCCCCAATGTCTTGCCACATACCAAAAAACAAAACAAAACAAAACAAAAACAAAAAAAACTCTGTCAATAAAGGAACCCAGGAGCTCTTTTGCTAAGTTGTGCTGAAGAACTTTCTCTCAGAAAATCACATCAGACTCTTGACAATCAATGGTGGACCTCCATAGGGCACAGCTTTTGGAAGAACCTGCTTCTAGGCTTCCTGAGCATGAAGAGAAAATGCTACTAGTTGTCACCATTACATTTTAAACAAATTCAAGGGGAGAGTATAAAAGAGTACTTAACTGTCTCTATTGTTTCAATTATCTTCTTATAGTAAGCACTCAAAAAGGAATGAAAGCTGCAGAGGAAAAAGAAACATTATGGGTATGTAATTCCAAAATTAAGGGAGAAACTAAGGAATCTAATATAAACCAAAAAGAAAAGGGAAAGGCAGTAGTTTAATCAGGGATAACTCTCAAACAAAAAATGACTGAGGCTAAATAGAAATATTTCTATTGGTGCTGGCAGGGATATATCTGAGTGATAGAGCACTTGCCTAGCATGTACACAGCCCTAGGTTTGATCTCCAAGCACCACCAAAACAAAACAAAACAAGAAATACTTCTATTTGTAGAATGTGGTGTGTCTTACCACATTCTAGGGAAACTCCTTTCTCATGTATTCATGAGGCCGTTAGCTTCTTCAGGGAAAGGACTGTGCCTGGATCTCAGTCAGTGGTGTTGAACCTGACTCAAACTTGCCTGGGAACGAAATATCACACTATCACATGGCAAAATTTAATGGCCACTCGATATTGTGATCCTAGCAAAAATATGAATAGTAAATAATCAGGTTGTGAATTTTTAAACTATGCATGGTCTGAATATAAAATACACTATTAGTGGGGCTGGGGTTGTAGCTCAGTGGTAGAGTGCTTGCCTAGCATATGTGAGGCACTGGTTTTGATCCTCAGTAACACATAAATAAATAAAATAAAGGTACTGTGCCCATCTACAACTAATATGTGTGTGTGTGTGTGTGTGTTTAAGATAATTTAACCAACCAAATTGAGAGTATGACAGACTGTCTAAGGGAATTTATTTTCATCCCTGTCATCTATATATGTATATGTGTGTGTATATATACACACACACACATATACACATACACACACAGAACACTCTGTGTGTGTATATATATATATATATACACACACACATATATAAACACTATTAGCAGTTGAATTGTTTTTATTAAAATATTTAAAGCTTTAGAGTTAAATGTATGAATTTTATATATTGTCCCCTTCCAATTTTCTTTCATAATTCAATGAAAATAAATTCCCTTAGACAATCTGTCATACTCTCAATTTGGTTGATTAATTAACACTTTAAACCACTCAATTCTGTTAGTTTTCCATATCTGTGGTAAGATATTACTACATGATTGATGGTTTAAAACACATTTATTATCTTAAAGTTCTGTAATTCAGAAATCCAAAATGGTTTTCTCTGGAGTAAAATCAGAGTATTGGCAGAGCTATGTTCCTTCTGCAGGTTCTAAGAAAGAATCTGTTTCTTTGCCTAGAGCCCTCCTTTATTCTTGGCTCACGGATCCTTTCCTCCTTCCTCCAAGCCAGCATTGTTGGGCTAAGCCCTTTTTCTGACAACTCTCAGGTTCTCGTGCCTCTTTCACTTTGTTTGGATACAAATGGATAATCTAGGCGAATTTCTCTATATAAAAGTTAGGTGATAAGCAACCTTAATTCTATTTGTAACCTTACTTCCTATTTTCCATGTAAGGTTACACATTCATAGGTTCCAAAAATTCAGGACATGAGCCAAGCTCAGTGGTGCACACCTGTAATCCCAGAAGCTCAGGAAGCTGAGGCAGGAGGATCACGAGTTGAAACCCAATCTCACCCAAAGGAACTCAGCAAGACCCTGTCTCTAATAAAATATAAAAAGGGGCTGGAAATATGGCTAAGTGGTTAGGCACACCTGGGTTCAATCCCTGGTACCAAAAAAAAAAAAAAAAATCAGAACATGGACATCTTTGGGTAGAGCCATTATTCTACACGACATAAGTATATTCTGGTTTTCTAATTCCTGCCASTGCCTGACCAAATCAGCAATCCTTCCTAAGTATCACACAGTTCTTGCAAGCCTAATAAATGAAATGTATAACTACAATTTCAATTTCTCTGAAATATTAATATTTCAATACTCTCAGACTAAATATCATATCTTTCAACATAAAATTAGGTGTTCAGTTATGCAGTTATATGTTTTAAAATTTTAATCACAAAGTTATGAGAGATAACCTAATAAGCCCAATTTCTTTACAAAACTTTAAATAGTTAAAGATTATTCCTAAAGTAGACACAAAAGTATAGAAAAAGCATGTGGTTAAGAGCACAGACTGGAGTCAGGCTGCCTGGCTCCTCATTTAATGAGCTTTGTGACCTTGAGTAAGTTACTTAATTTTTCTGTGCCTCAATTTGCTTATTTCTAAATGAGGATAATAAGAGTACCCATCTCACAGAGAAGCAGTGAGAATCAGAATTTAAATGAGTTAATATTTACAAAGTGCTTAAAATAGAATGACACATAGTAATGGCTCCATGAATTTGTTACATTTTTWAAAAAATTATGTTTGTTGTACTTTATTATCTCCATATTTAATTATAAAATCTCTTGGGGTTAAAAGACATTTATCCAGTTTACCTCCAGCAGGCCAAAGAGGGGTCACAAATCCAAGCAAACTGGGTTTATTACCCTCCAAAAAAACAATAGTTTCTACCTTAGGGGGCTGAAGTAGCTGATCATCCAAGAGAGCATTTGACTAGGTGCACTTGACCATGAACTGCTCATATTCAGGGAGATTCTTTCCACTGAGAGAGCCATTGGTCCTTTTCTACTATTGTAGTAATAGAATCAATRTCTTCAGAAAGGTTAAATTTACATAATTCCTCCTTTTGATTTGAATAGATCAAAGACTGGACTCTATCCTCACCTATCTCAGTAAAATAATTCTCTATGTGTCTTGGTTGGACTTATGAATTTCTTTAGCTCCATGAGAATAAGATGTGTTAGAGTTCTTCTCTAACCCTTCAGAAACCTCATTTATTTCTTCTGATTTCTAGACTGCATCTCCTTGCCTAGATTTCCAGCTAATCTCCTTGAACTGTTGTCTTTACTGATTAATTAAATTCTGAATTCTTTCAAAAWTTTTTTTGGTCTGGTCAGATATCATATCTTTTTCATATTTAAATGACAGATCCTATCTAGGAGATGTAGCTAAAGTGGCAGAACTCTACCCCATCAAGGGTTTGATCCCAACATAAAAGTAAAATGAAATAATATAAAATTTAAACAAAATTCCTTGTATTCCAAATCTCTCTCCTGTTCTCATCACAATAGTAGAGTTATGTTAACGACAATATCAACTGTTGAATACTTAATACCACACTGCCAGTGAGAAAGCCATTACCTCTTATCAGGTGCATGTTGGGTTGTTCCTGGCTTGTAAATATCCTGTAAACTCTGCTGAATGGTGAGCTGGGTGTCAAAGTCATTGTCTGTGTCTTCATCACTGATGTAATTATCCATGTGAAACTCAAGCAGGTTTAAAGTCAGAATGAATTAAAAATATTTTTCCAGTTGTGAAAAGATTACCAACTGCTTGAATTTAGAAGTGAAATTTRGAAAACTAGAAAGTTGTCAAGATTGAAAAACAAAGAAAATGCAAAACTTAGAAAAACAAAATATTCATTTAATTTTTTTTCCATAAACTTAAAGTAGTTTTCTGGACTGCCACATATTCAGCATAAATTAGAAGTCTCTATGAGTAACCATTTACTTAAAACTTAGGAAAACAGCCTTTCATATAAGACTTAGGTCAATGCCATAAGTAACTTGAAAATGCTTATGTTATTTGATATATTTTAGACTTGCCTTGTCAGTTTTTCTCAGTTATTACAGCACTCACCCACCTACACACAGTATTATGCTGAAAGCTATATTTTCTTTGGTAAAAAATAAAAATAAACATGTTATAGGACTAATAGTACTATCTTAATACAACAGGTAGTAAAAGCAATGTAGTTTAAAAGAGCATTACTGTTTTAGTATAAAACAGGTTTGATCACATACCAAAGACCTTTTACCTTTTGTTATATCCTCTAGGTCGGTACTGAAGTTTTCACTGTTAAGGATTAGCACATGAACGCCTCAGGATTTTCATTTATATTTAGGATCCATTCCCCTGTAAGGATTATTATAAATAGCTTTACTATAAATACTTGATCATAAGACAGTCTGGCACATTGTCCTTGCTTTTTTTTTTTTTTTAACATGTAGTTTAGCTCTGTTTAGAAACATGATCTTGTTTTCTTCTCTACTAGAGTCATCAAACTTAAAGGATTAATCATCTTATTTCTGGAATAAACAGCATTTGCAGAGGGTTAGCTATGCAAAGAGAACTTATTCCCTATGGCTCATGCACATAGCCACTACAAACAAGAATTAATTTTTTATTTAAGAGAGGTCAAACATTTTACATTATCTAAAGTGACTTTTCAGTGGTCCAAATTGACTGGGTAGCTGTACCTACATTTTCCTTGGGTTATAATATTGCAGCCTGAGGGGCTGAGGCTGTAACTCAGTGGTAAAGTGYTTGCCTCACATGTGTGAGGTACTGGGTTCAATCCTCAGCACCATATAAGAATAAATATACTGTGTGTTCATATACAACTAAATAAATATTAAAAAYAAAACAAACAAACAAACAAAAAAAAMCCCCTGCAGCCTGAAGTGTACTTGGAATCCTCAGGAAGGAACTAACTTATAGAAGATGATATGGTTTTGATTAAAATTTTGTGTTGTTAAAATATTTTCATTGTTAAAATCAATGTACACTAATATTATGGGTACATACTAAATAATAAGAATATTTAACTATTGAAATAACAATAGGATCACTTGACATTTCCAATTAAATATGAAGCAAACACCACTGTGGGTATAGAATCTGAGATTCCCAGGCAGTCGTCTTACTGCTTTTGTGTTCCATTGAGAAATGGAACTAATATTTTAAAAGTATGAAGTAAGGGGTTTGGTTCCTAAATTGCTTTAATATTTTCCTTATCTATATGTATTTAATGTTCATATATAATAACTTCAGTGAGGCATGTGGAAAGTAAACTACTATTGAAGAAATATCTAGGGAAAGGAATATCTTCTAATATTAGTCAAATTTTATCATTTAATCTCCCCAATCTATTTTTCACATATACATATCAAACTTAAACTAAATAAAAGCTCTGAGATTTTCCAAACACTTCAAAGTAACACTTTAAAATAACACTTCAAAATTTCTTTCCACAGGTAGATGTCTGACAGTTCTCTCAGAGGAGTCAGATTAGAAGGCCTTTTGCAATCARGAATGGAATCAGGAAAAGGATAACAATGCAAAGGCCTTTCATAAAGACCATTTGAAAGAATGACACCAAGACACTTTGTTTTATATATTTTTTAAAGTAAGTGAAAACAATTTTATTTCAGATGTTCTCTAAAATTGTACAATTTAGTCATCCAGCTGACAAAGCAGAGCAACACCACGTTTGATCCAGTGTTGAGTGGGTTGGTCTGTTTTTAACAACATTGCAATGACGAAGTTAGTGGAATGTCCTGTAGTAGAAAGAGTTCCTTTACGTTCACTTGTCTTGTAGAGAGGACAGACATAGGCATTTGACTTCACAATCTTAGTCTTTTCAACTTGAAAAAGAAAGAAAGAGATTCATTTAGTAAAGGGAAAAGAGCCATGGGTACTGAAAAACAATTGTTTATCTTATAGTAAAATGTAATTTTTAAWTTTTTAACAGCTGATCCATTATTATTGCTATAAAACAAGGAAAATTATTTCATATGGTGCAAGTCTAGGAACCAGGAATTGATCTTAAAGTTCTGATCACTTAATAGGCATGAAAAAACTCCACAGAGAATTTGTGAGGGAAGGAGTAACAAAAGAAGATAGGGAAGAAGGGACAAAATACAGTATAGGTAATAGAGGAGATTCAAAAGGAGAAATAAACTGCTTAGAACTCTTGTATAAGAAACACATAATTTAGAAGAAGCTGAAGTTTCTATTTGTTTTTAGCAGGCTATTAAAACAAATACTAAAACACACCAACTCTTGACAACTCACAAAAATAATCTATGTATAATTCCTGAAAAGCCAGATATGAAATATCAGGAGCCCTTATAAACTACAGCCATATTTCTCACAATTGAACCACATTAATAATGAAAATATTTGATATATTGGGTGATTTGTAAATGTTTTTATTTATTATTAATTATGATCAAGAAAATTAGAGGTGGGGGTGTAGCTCAGTGACAGAGCATTTGCCTGGCATGCATGAGGCCCTAGGTTTCATCCACAGGACTGAAAAAAAATACAAATAAAAAAACAACCAAGAAAGCAGAGGGACAATATATTCTCCATTACAGATATTTCATCATTTTATATTATAATTCAGTTAGATCCTAAAAGACTTGAGCAAAAACTAATTTTGGGGAGYAGTTAATAGTATCTATCATTATTCTCTTTAAAATTCAAGGAAATTTTGTTAAAAATGTATTTACTTGGTTTTATCCATATGATGGGCATCAGGTCAAACAGAAGTTTGGGATATTGTTCAGCAAGCAAGCCACTGTAATGAGAAATTAACAGAAGTTATTAGTTATTTCGTTAGATCTAAAATGTCCCCCAAAGGCCATGTACTAATGGCTTGGATGCTGGCCTGTGGCTCTACCAGGAGATAAGGCCTAGTTGGAGGAAGTAAGTCACTTGGAGAAAGACTCTGTATAGTACATTTTGTCCTTGGTCCCTTCCTCTCACAGTGCATGTTCTCTTTTCCTCTGCTTTCTGGATGCGTTAGGGTGAGCTTTGCTTCACCTCATGCTCCCTGTTATAGTGTTTGCCTGACTGCAGGCCCATAATCAGGGAAGCCAAGTGACTCCTCTGAAACCATAAATGAAAACAAATCCATCTCCTTTTAAGTTGTTTATCTCAGGTAATCTGTTACAGCAATGAAAAGCTAACATATTTGTGAAATTTGCTTCTTAAAATAGACTGCTATTTAGATATTGACTTTTAATATAGAAGAGGACCAGTGATAGAGAGGAAAAGAGTATAAAAGGAAAAGAAGAAGAAAGAGTAGGAGGAGAAGGGTGGGAGAAGGCAATGAAGAACAGAGCAATAAAATATAATTTTAGAAAGGTGAAGTATAAAACTGCACAAATATCAATGCCTGCTAATTTTTTTAAAAACTGGATCAAGATCTAGGTTTATTAATGGTTCCTTCAAATTTTATTTCTTTGTTTTTTGCTCATTTAAAATAGAAATGGATATTTGTCAGAAAAATAATTTATACCATAAAAATTTTGCTTTGTTATTAGCCCTACTTGAAGTTAGTTGGTATGGACATTGGTGGCTATATCTAACTATTTTTTAAACTTTCTAATTTTTTTGATTTATATAATATTTGTATATATTTATGAGGTACAATGAATTTTTTTTTGTTTTTGCTTCATATATATATATATATATATATATATATATTTCAGTTATACATGACAGTAGAATGTATTTTGTCAGAATATACATACACAAAGTATAAGTTATTCTATTAGGTTCCCACTCTTGTGGTCATACATGATGTGGAGTTACCCTGGTTTTTGTATACATATGCAGGCTAGGAAATTTATGACCAATTAATTCTACTGTCTTTCATATTCCCCTTCCCCTCCCTTCCCTTCATTACCCTTTGTCTAGTCCAATCTATTTCTATTATTCCTCTCCCCAACCTCCCTTGTTTGGGGTTAGCATCCACAAATCAGAGATAACATTTGGTCTTTGGTTTTTTGGGATTGGCTTATTTCATTTAGTATGATACTCTCTAGTTCTATCCATTTACTGGCAAATGCCATAATTTCATTCTTCTTATAGCTGAGCRATATTCCATTTGTACATATACCACATTTTCTTTATCCATTCATCTGTTGAAGGACACCAAGTTGTTTCTATAGCCTGGMTATTGTGAGTTGAGGTGCTATAAATATGGATGTGGTTGCATCACTGTAGTATGTTGTTTTTAAGTCTTTTGGGAATACACCAAGGAGTGGCATAACTGGGTCAAATGGTGGTTCCATTCCAAGTTTTCTAAGGAATCTCCCTACTGCTTTTCATAGAGGTTGCACCAAWTTAATGACTGCATATTTTAAGTGCCTCCCATGAGGCAGATACAATGCATCACATTTGACCCTCATAATGATCCTATCCCCATTTATATTCCTATTTCACAGATAAAAACTATAGGCTCAGAGATATTGAGTATTTTTCTCAGTTACACAGCTATCAAGTGCTAGAATCAAGATTTAAACAGATGTTCCAAAAACTCAGTCTACACRGTTTGTTGGAAAGGAAGGAAGGAAGAAAAAATAAATATACAAAGGTGGTAAAGTAAATGAAGAAAACTAGCAGTAAAGTGATGAAAAAAGACAAGAGAAATAATCAAATTAACTATGTGAAATTGAATCTTCTCATGATCCTGTTTCAGAACTGTCACTGTAAAACCTTACCTTACTATTCCCTCCTATGGGATTTTTCCTACCTTGGTCTTTTACCTCAGTCTTTAATATCCCCTTTAACATCTCCTTGGGAGCAAAGTCTTACCCTATGTTCAGAAATAGAGGATTATGCCTATACATATATTGTTGGAGACCAGGGCTCCAAAGAAATATTTCTCCCCTTCTCTTTTATCCCTATTTATCTGACACTGGGAATAGTTTCCTGATAGTTTTCTAAGAGTGAAGCTAGAAATTGAATGTTTATTCTTAATACTTATTTATCATCTCATCAAAATGCATGAAAAAGTTTTCCACTCACTAAATGGGAACTTTATTATAACTGTCAGTTTAAAATTGAGTCAGTTCTTCACAGTACAAAATAGAAAATAACTGTTATACAGCAGAATAAGCAAGAAAATAATTTCAGCTAACTTTTTTACTAATGAGACAGACTAGTGAAATATTAATCAAAAATTGTTTGGGCCTCAAAAATAATCACTCCTTTGTGCCAATCTGAATAATGATTTAGGAAAGAATTCTGATATTACTTGACTTATTGCTTAAAAAGAGGACATTGATTTTAAAAAAAACACGGTTATGAGGGGCAACAGTTRTCTTACCT